ATTTTTTAGGACTATTGAACAAGAATATTTGCCGTCATTTAGCCGTTTTTATGATCCATTTGTATTATAAGGACATTTCTACTTGCGGACACTTGTTTCGTTTCCCAAGGGTGTCCGCTTACGGGAGATTCAACTGTACTGCTGACCGTTGACCGCGGTCAGTAGAAAAACGTCCATCATTATTGCTAATGTATTCAGAACTTTGGGTCCTAGGAGTTGCTTTTGAAAGGACACAGGTGACACGGTGTTACAAGAAGGGCATAGATGTATATGACGCGCGTGGTTTGTTGACAAAATGGCGGCTATTTCCGGTGATATGCCGGGTAGTAAGTTTCCGGTCCAGAAAGTTGTTTGTGCGTGTTAACAAGGGAACTTCCGGAAATATTTGCTGTCTGATTGATTTTCTTTGTATTTATCTTAATTTTTTGAAGTAATGTTTGTTTTAAGTATTAGAAAATTGCTGTTTTGTAGTTGACATTCGCTGTTTCAAGTTATAACTTATAACATAACGATCGGTTCAAAAAAAGTGCTGTTTTTACACCTGTTGTTTGAGCTATTTTTAACTTAAAAGTTTTGTCAGATCTATAGAAAATAAGTCATACGAAGTCACAGTCAAAAAAGTCTCAAAAAGTCACCATGATTTCAAGTGCTAAACAGAGCTTGAAAACCATTGAAATTTGCTAAGTTTGATAGAATCGCGTATCTCGATTAGGCGTAAGGATGATATCACTACCAGCGAGCTATGCTAGAGTTTTTACCAGTTTTTGCCATACAAATAGTGAATATAAAACACACTGAAATACGATTATCAAAAGTACACATAATCCTATGTTTGAACTTTGTTTTGAACGATTTTCAATAAAACGTGTCTAAAAGAACAAACTCGTGTTACTGTAAGCTTATTAAAACTATACAAATCGCGCATTTGGTTTGAATTGGCATGCAGCAATTAAACTGAAAACACCACCCCATGAATACAATAAAAAAGAAAACAAGATACCAACTAATGACCAAGTAAGAACTGTTTATTTATAAAACAATTTCAGTCAATGCAAAAACAACAACTTCGRTTTAGCAACAAAGCCGGACATCAGTTCTAAGCTCATTTCAAGTAATTTCAAACAATTAAAACAAGTTTTTACTAACCTCTAAAGCAGACGAAATTGACACGGACTAAAGAAGACTGAACTTATTTTATCAAACAGTCCTTCAACCTTTTGACCGTCCAAAGCGACAGGAATCAAAGCAACTCGCCTTTCAGACAATTTCCTTATCGATTTATCTATCTGATGTCCACTTGGCGAAAAATAAGTTCTAAACAAACAATTCCTTTTATCGATACATGAAAATTGTCTTTACTTATACGATGAATGTATAAAAGGGAAAAATCTTTGAGAGTGTCAGCTCTAGAATCGACAACATTGACAAACGGGTCAAAGTTTCCGCCATTGATCTTCACTCGGCTAAGACCCAAAACAAGTGATGACGTCACATAAAAAAAACGATAATATAGTCTAAAACGCAATGCATTGTGGGGTGCTACTGTTCCCTCCTCTAAGTCTGTGAGTCACTTTTTGCGTTAAAATATCAGTCTTTAAAGCGGCCAAAATTAACTTGATTCAAATACCTCCTTTTTCCCTACGTATGTTGGTTGCCTACCCTGGGAACCAGAGGCTGGATTTACTCGTTCTTGTAGTTTATATACGGCGCGAAGCGCCGTCCTTGAGGCCGAAGGCCGAACCGTAAACCAGCCTCTGGCGGCACGGATAGCGAATCTCACTTCCATGTCAGTGTTTACATTCAAGATCTGAACGTTGCAGCTGATTGGTCCGTTGATATCGGAGCGATATTATTGGCTGAAAAACAAAACCGGTTTTCTATCAGATACTCGACGAGTGATGAGTTGTCAAAATCAAATGTATATGTCATGGGTCACTGATCTCTGTCGTGTATCAGAATTCTCACAGAATGTAAACTAAGCAAAATCCCCAGAAGATGCCGTTAAAGCAAGACTTTGCGAATCTGCAAAGTGTATAGCTGCAGTCTCTCGAATAAGACAGGAGATTTCAAATTATCTGGAGAAAAGACAAGTTAAAAATATCGTTTTTGCAAAAATATTTGCTTTTCAATTTATATAGCGAACAGCTACATATGTCTCACCTTCACTCGGAAGTTTAAAAAAACTTCGAAAGTCTAAAACTCTTAGGACAATGATTTGAAAGAACTTTGTTGCGTTGAATGCTCACTCGTCTAGTATCCGGTGAAAAACCGGTTTTACTTTTCAGCCAATAACATCACTCCGATATCAACGGACCAATCAGCTGCAACATTCAGATCTTGAATGTAAACACTGACATGGAAGTGAGATTGGCTATCCGTGCCACCAGAGGCTGGTTTACGGTTCGGCCTTCGGCCTCAAGGAAGGCGCTTCGCGCCGTATATAAACTACAAGAACGAGTAAATCCAGCCTCTGGTTCCCAGGGTATTGGTTGCCATGTTGACAATAACAATAACACAGGAACAATAGCACAGGAAACCCAAACCGAGGTGAAACTCATCGAGTCATAAAACAATGAAACGCAATTACTTAAAAAGCAACGTTTTTGTAACGTCAGGTTATGTTATAGACTGTATTTCAGTTATATATAAACCTAGATTTATTTAATAAANACCGTTGACCGCGTGAGCAAAATGTCCTTCTATCGTTCCTTTTGAAAGGACACAGATGACACGATGTTACAAGAAGGGCATAGATGTATATGACGTTTATGACAACACACAAACTTATAACCACAATCGTCATCAACATTTTATAAATCAAATCGCTGTCATATCTGTAATTGAAGAGTCCTGATGACAATAACATGAACATTAATTCCCTCTTAGGACCAGCACCATTGAGGTTACTGCATAAGACATCCTCACAGTCATCAGTGAAAGGTATTTTACAGATTTATTACAATGGTGTCTGGGGAACAATATGCCTTGATGGATGGTCATTTGCTAGTGCAACTATAGCATGTAAACAGCTTGGCTACCAGTTTGCAGTTATGTCCAAGCACTTAGGACAAGGACCTGATCCAATTTGGCTTGTTAATGTTAAATGTAACGGCGATGAACCGTCACTAGACCAATGCCATCACAATCGATTGGGCCGTCTTCAATACTACTGCAGTCACAGTAAAGATGTCGGCATCGTGTGTAATACTAGTAAGTACATCTTGATAGTAGTACTACATTATTCATAAAATGATTAAAACGAGCGGTTAACTAATATGAACTGCGTCGGCGTTCGAAAGAAAGAGTTGTGTGAATTACGATACATAAATTGTTTATTGTAAAAAATAGTTGTAACAACTTACAGACATTTTTGACGTTATTCCTTCGTTAGAGTAATAAAGTAATTACTGTTATAATGATAATAATGTTATTTACCGTCATTATGGTTACTGGAAATAGAACCTTGTCCTGCAGACCACATGCCTTTTAATTGGTCATGACCACTCGACCATCTCGTCTCCTACTGATTGGAGGTAATTTTTCTTACACAGAAACAGCGCCATTGAGATTGATAAACAAAACAAAACCTGCTTCATCATTAGTGCAAGGTATTTTACAGATTTATTACAATGCTTCATGGGGTACAATATGCGATGGCGGATGGTCCTGGACTGCTACAAACATAGCTTGCAAACAGCTTGGATACCATAGTGCAGCGACATTCAAGTACTTGGGAAAGGGACCTGATCCAATTTGGCTGGATGGATTGAAATGCAATGGCAATGAATCGTTACTAGATCAGTGCCAGCACCGAGGATGGGGTATCCATAACTGCACTCACAGACAGGACGTTGGCATCATCTGTAATACAAGTAAGAGACTCTTAATTCTCATACTAGATGTTCAGTATTTTAATGCGACTTCTAACAGAAAGGGTCATTCAGAATCGACGAAAGCGCACTTCAAAGGGTTAGTTATTTTCTGGTGAAAGTGAAACACTTATCATCTGAAGTTTAAACTAAATGCAAGACTCAACTTTTGCACTAAACTACAACAAATAACTTTTATGTGTGAACTTTTAACGCTTTACATGCATGCAAACGCTAAGAAATGTAAAACAAATCAAACGTTCAGAGGCTTACACTTACTATTATAGTATGACGGAGTATGATTTCAACAAAATTGTAAATGTTTCGGCTTTCCTTTTATTTTCATGTCTTTATTAAAGGGACAATATACAATTCTAGCTAAATACATACACGGGAAAATGCATGTCGCTTGCGACCTGCAAACCGGGGCAATTCTAATAGTGAATGTGATATTTCATATACGAAATACAGTTTATTTTATACATACTGAGATTTTCTTGTRCAATCTTACTATATGAAAACTTGTTTCGCGCTGCTTTTTGGCCAATCAGTGACGCGAAACGACTTTTTCACACGTGAAGAAAACGTTTCAACCAATCACAAAGCTTCGGGTTTGGCGAACCGGTAGCTTTGCATCCATCCTCGGGAACCCAGGGGTTATCTTCTGTCGTTCGTTCCTCACTCCCAGAAAAAATACCCCTGGGCACGAAGTCTGTTAGACCTTGTTCTCGATTCGAAATTCAAAATGGCGGCCGGTAAATTTCTGATTGGTCGAGTGATTCACTCGAACATTCTGATTGGTTGATTAACTTACNAAAATTTAAAAATTAAACGACACTTACCTGGAAGTGGAAGTTTGATTGTAATTCTACCGATATAACACGTGACTGAGAGATTACATGAGAGATTGCGTTACACCATGACCGGTCACCTTTTAAAGCCATATAGTTGATGTGACAACTTATATTTTGTATTTATCGTTTGGTCACTGCTTCATCTGACGAACTCCACAAAAGTGACCAAATATCAGTTGCACTGATAGCAGCTTGATTGTCTATTTGTGTTTTAATGTTTAGATAATAACATAGTGGAGGGAGTGGAGGGAGGGCATGTAATCTCTCAGTCACGTGTTATATCGGTAGAATTACAATCAAACTTCCACTTKCAGGTAAGTGTCGTTTAATTTTTAAATTCTACCTCACTACCACGTGACTGGAGATCACATGAGATTTTAAAGCTTAGTTGGCACAGCAACTATAATCACAAAGAAAAGCAATTTCCCAATAAACCATAACTTTAATTCAATAACAARTAACATTGACTTAGGATYGACTCTGCATATCCATCAGTTTCAACTGGAARAATGGGCTTATCATAATAATTTGCAAATGTTCTGGCTGTGGACCATCCTGCCTTAGCCAAAATTTCTTCAATCGGAACAAYCGATTTCTTGYCAGCTGAGGTTGATGCTGACCTTGTGCTGTGTGCTTTGAACTGCTTTAGATCCACCCCTGCACTTTGCATAACTGTCTTCAGCCACCGGCTGATTGTATCTCGTGATATCTTTTTAAATGGCTTCTGATAACTAATCAACAGTTGTTGTTCATTGCCACGAATTCCCTCTGTTCTTTTTATATACTCCAGTAGAATAGTATGAACACACAAATGCTCATCTGGAGTATATTTTTTGACTATCAAAGGTTTGGCACTGTTCCTGGGGCGTGATTGCTTTAATGGCAAGTTAAAACAAAATATTACCTCATTGGCTTCTACTGTCATCAATCCGAGGTTGAGCATCTGAAGAGTCTGCAGTCTTTGTGCTGTTGTTATAGCTAGTAGCATTACGAGTTTATGTGATAAATCCTTCAAGTGTAACAATGTACATGCTCTAAAACTTTTCAAGTACTTTAGTACCAGACCAACATCCCAGATACTTTTGTAACGSACTATTGGTGGATTTAAGTTGTAGACTCCCTTTAAAAATCTSACCACCAATGGATGACTTCCGACTCCAGATCCATTAATAGAAATTATAGTAGACAATGCACTTCTTGCTGTATTCAATGAGCTATAACTCAAGTGTTCCACATCAAATAGTTCTGTCAAAAAATCAATTATGTCCCCTATATTTGGGTGAAGAKYATCAACTTGTTTTTTACCACAGTACTTGATCCACTTGTTGATGTGCGTGCTATACTGTTTACGGGTACCCTCTCTCCATGAGGCCATAATGATATCGGCTGCTCTTCCAGAAATCTGCAAACTTTCAAGTGATCCCCTYACAGTTTGCATGCCAATAAMTTCAATTTTGGAAACATTGGGTGAATCTTTGCCGGTTGACCTGGAAGTTTCAACAACTCTTGCATTCGCGGAAGTAGTATAMGTTTGCTGACCAGCATCTCCATAGCCTTGGTATAATAGCTCTGTGTTGGCCACTGTGGCATTATTACAATTGCATCTGCTTTGTCCATTGAAATCTTTTGCAAACACCGCCCTAGAAGGCTGAATGGTGGAAAACAATAAATTAAAGAATTCTRCCAACTAATTGTAAATGCATCAATATGAATTGCTTTGGGATCAGACTTCCAAGCATAATAATTTGGCAACTTTGCATTTAGATAGCTTGCAAAAGCATCAATSTTTGGCTCCCCCAACATCTCGCATACKGTTTTGAAAACCTCAGTGTTCAGCTCCCATTCGGTGCGCTCATTAAAATGTCTTGACTGAAAATCAGCCTCCACATTATCTTTTCCTGGTATATGTGTTGCTGTGAGCCAAACATTGTTCTGGATACTCCAAAACCAAATTGTTTTTGCAATCTTGTTACATAGGATTGAGTGGGTGCCCCCCATATTATTAATATATGAAACTGCAGTAGTGTTATCACACTTAACTAGCACATGCTTATTGGCAAGTTTGGATGTAAAACTCTGTAGCCCATACTGAATGGCTAACAATTCCAACGCATTTATGTTGCTCTCATTGTGTRCAATTTCAAAGMCCAWAAATTTCCCTTGTGCTTTAAGTCCTTCGCATACAGCTCCCCAWCCTAACATTGAGGCATCTGTAGCTATTTCTATCTCTGGATTATCTCGTGCAATTAATCCCCTTGCACAGTCAAGATTTTTTATCCACCAATTTAAGTCATTTTTCATATCCTCATTGATAGTCATCATTGTGTCAAAATTGCCTGCCCCTGCTTTTAGTGCTTGGATTTTTGAAATTTCCAAATTCCTATAATGTAACTTTCCATACTGAACTCCAGGGAAGCTTGAAACCATTTTCCCAATTACTCTTGCTARATCCCTGACTGTACTTTTTTCCTTTTTAATTATGTCCTCTAAAATCAATTTTAGTTTATTTTTCTTATCAGCTGTTAAAGTAACAGTCATCTGTACTGAATCTAAAACAAACCCAAGCACCTTAACAGTTTGACTAGGGCTTTTCATTGATTRTTCRGYATGGACAATAAATCCCAACTTAGCAAACAAGTTTTTGCTTTCTGTGATTGRATTCATTGCACCTGAATAATCTGCACTTTGTATATATGTATCATCAATATATCCCGARACAGTATGTCCCCCTACCCTCAACTGCGAGTAACAGGGTTTCATTAATTTAGTAAATAGCCTCGGAGCTGAGGATAGACCATTGGGGAGACAGGTATATTGATACAATTCCCCTTTCCACTGAAATCTTAGGTATTTCCTATGCTCCTTAGCTATAGGGACTGTGTAGTAGGCATCTCTCAGGTCTATAGTTGCCATAWAACAATTRGGTATCACCAATTTTAAAATAGACTGCAGAGTGTCCATTTTAAASTTATTGTATTCCACAAACTTATTCAATTTTTTAAGGTTCAGAATCGTGCGATAAGTTCCATCAGGTTTTGGCCTAAGAAAAKTATTGGACACAAATTGTCCAGCACAAACTTTTGTTTTCTCTAAAACTCCTTTCTTCCTTAGTTTAGCTATTTCTTCGTCAACGATTTGACTTTCATTTGCATTYAATTTTATTCCGGGTGGATTTGAGTGTTGCTCTGGACACTCATTTTCCTTGAATYTTATATGGCATCCTTTGACCATGTCAAGAATATTCTTATCCCCTGTTATCTGCTCCCATGCAGAATAAAATTGCTGGATTCGGCCAGCTATAGGGATGTTTACCTGAGACAATAAAGAGTTTATTTCTTGGTTGCTGTCTCGGTGGATGTTGATGTGGCTTTCCCCTTGTGGTGGTATGAGTGGCGATATTGATTTGGTCCCCKTAAAAAAGGTCTTGAATAAGGGTTTGTACGGGCTCTGCCACTGCCATATCCTTTATAAGCTCCTCCTTGTTTTGATCTGTATTGAGACCTCCCATATGTCTTTCG